GCGGTCGCGCCAGCGACCCCATGACCACGGTCGCAACCATGATGTGTGCGCCCCTGGCCTATTTAAGGCATGTTTAGTTAGTTTATTTTGTGTCTCTTCCATTCATTTTCTAAGCACTCTCTCCTAAGCTTCTCTTGAGAGATCATTTTTATGAGTGAAATACATTTTTTTGAAAGAGATCATTTTATTGTAGAGAGATTATGTTAAGTGTTTGAGAGTGAACTTTATAGTGTGGATTACTTGTAATACTCTCATGTGCTTCATGATTCATTAGTATCTAAAAACCTCAAAGCTAATCATCAAGATGCATAAGTCCTTCACACGTTTCAACTGTGAACCTTCTTGGTGGATTCCAATATTGTAGACTTTGATGGATTCCGAAATCATTGGCGTCGTGGCGATTCGATAACCATTGCGAAGATCCAGTGAAGGAAGAAGTGTGACTCGTAGGTTGAGCAAACGTGTGAGCCCGGAGTGGCCTTTGTAAGATAGCTCTTGTATTATTTTCTTTCATAGTGGATTGTTCACTTGGCCCAGAGCTTGTGATTTTTTATCACAAGTTGGTGGATTCCAATTGTAATTTTCCACGTAAAATATCATTTGTGTTGTGGATGTTTGATTTTGTCACTTATCTATTTTGATTATGGTTGCATTTTTTAATTGGATTGTCTAAATCAATAATCACGTTAAAAAGGATGCATCTAGATTTTCTAAAAGTATTTTCCGCTTAAATCAAAATATTTCAAAATAATATGCTTTGCAAAAAAAATAATATAAAAATATAAAAATTCTCATTTAGAATTATCTTGTGACTATGAAGCATGGGTATTTTGATAAACATGTCGTATCCATATCGGGTACTTACTGAATTTTGAAATTTTTTTCCCACTCAATTTCAAAATTACTATTAGTCGATCAATTCTATTGAAATTATTTTGGGTAATAAACTAGTCACAATTGTGTGCGCGCACACAAATAGAGTATTCAAGAAATTTTCAGTTTAATAACTTTCTCCAGGATTGACTCAAGATAATTTGAGACTTATGAAGCACAGGTACGGATATGAGAACTGGTATTGGTACGATACGGGTACGTTGACACGGTAAAATAAAATAATTAAAAAAAAAGTAGGATACATATACGACTTAATACGTTTGCGAAAAAATATTTGTTTTTAATTTGGAATAATACAAAAATTGATTAAATGATTTACTTGTTAAATCCAACATGCAATTGATATTTAATGCTAAAAGTTCATGTATAAGATAAACCGAAATTAAATATCATTATATTAAATAACTTACAAATCATAACTTAATTTTAAAATCATATTAAGTACAAAATTAAAAATGAAAAAGAAGTCTGGTAAAAAGAATTTTATCGTTATAGTAGAATAAAATATTTTTTGACTGAAATACAGCATGGGTTTAATATACACTAGATATGTTTAGGTACGCCAAAACTTAAGAAGAAAAAAATTTTAGTACGTGTTTTGTGTGCCCGGTACATATGCAGAAATATCATACGTCGGTAAGTACCCAGTACGGGTACAACATGTCTGTTGAATTATCCATGCTTCATAGTCTCGAGATAATTCTAAATGAGAATTTTTAAATATTTTTTGACTGAAATACAGCATGGGTTTAATATACACTAGATATGTTTAGGTACGCCAAAACTTAAGAAGAAAAAAATTTTAGTACGTGTTTTGTGTGCCCGGTACATATGCAGAAATATCATACGTCGGTAAGTACCCAGTACGGGTACGACATGTCTGTTGAATTATCCATGCTTCATAGTCTTGAGATAATTCTAAATGAGAATTTTTATTTTTATTTTTGCAAAGTATATATTATTTAAAATTTAATTTTTTTATATTTGGGGACAAATTGATTTTTTGGGTATAGTTTAGAAGGTAAAATGAAATTCCAAATGAATTTTGGTATTACGTCAGCACATTTCGTCCAATTGTAGACAGAATGTGACAGCAGGGACTAAATTGATTAAAATTTCGAAAGTTTAGGCGTAAAATTAATATCAATTGAAGTCTGTGGTCAAATTAAAAAAAATACGTGAAAATTTGGAGGGTAAAATGATATTTCCTCTACAATGTTTTAGTATAATTGTCAATACACCTTATATTTTTCTTTCTTTTTGGTAAACCTCGGTTGCATAAATAGAATCATATATGAGAGGGTAATTTTTGGGAAAAATTGGGCCGAGCTGAGAGTTGGGCATTAAGGCCCATTCTTTCTTTTTGGTAAACCTCGGTCGCATAAATAGAATCAAATATATATATATATATTTTTTTTTAAAAATAGTGTTTTTCCTATACTTAAGTGACACATTATAAGGGTTTACTTTCTTTTCTTTTTTTTTCTAAGAAAGCTATATCAGCATATATTTTCTTAATTACATATAGAGTTATACATAAACACAAACCTAATTTAAATTATACTAACTTTACCTATTTTATATGGATTCTATTTGACAAATATTTCTTTTTCATATATTTTTCGTGATAAATTGAGATAATCCATAAACCGAATACAAATTTTGCGTTTCACGATTTTCTTCTTAATTCTTTCAAACGTATTAGGATTTTTTTTTTAATGCTAAATTGTCTTTTCTTTTTTTTTTTGTGCATTATTCTATATCCAATACCAATTATATAGTATTATGTATTATGAATTTATCGTTTAAATTTTATAGTGATTTTATATATGAGATTATACTTCTTTTTCTACATTAGTTTATATAATTACAACTCACAGAAGGAAAAATTTGCATAACAAATGATACTCTCAATAAACCTCTAAAGTTTGGATTTGAATAGTAAATGATTAATCACTTCACTGAGATGTATCTATTATTTGGATGTTTTCATTATTTTTTCTTTTTGGGTTTAGATGCTGTTATGTGATTCTTTCTTGGTTAGTCGTTGTTTAATTTCTTTTATATAGTTGATATTTTAATTTAATTAAGTATGTTTATTTTACAATCTTATAATTTACTCTCTCTCTCTCTCTCTATATATATATATATCATATAAAATCATTATACGTTAATCCAACTACAATATGTTTATATTTAATTTTTTAAATAAATTTTATATAATTTATATTTCTAAATATTTTTTTTTTCAAATGAATATAAAATAAAATTAAATATTTAGAATTACTTTTAATTTTATGTTACTAATTCTTCTTCTAATTTAACTATTATTTTTAATATCAAAATGAGTTTTTATTTTACTATTTTATAATTTAATATATATCGTACAAAATTATTATATGTTAATTACACTTTTATAATGCGATAGAACTAAAATTTTCAAAATACAAAATAATTTAGCTTAAATATATAAGTATTCAAGTAATAATTTTATAGAACGATAGAGTCAATATTATCAAAATAAATAATTAAAGTCCTAGTTTAATTTTTTTAAATTTAAATTTAAATTTAATTTTAATTTTAATTTTAAATTAAAATTAAAATTATTCATTTATATCACATATTATATCATCAAATATTTTTTGAAAAAAATAACACATACATTGTACATGATAACTACTAGTTTTATTAATAATACAAAATCGAGAGAGAGGGTCTTGCCTCTCATACAATACACGAAAAATATATGCGAAAAAATCAACATTAACAAATTCAATATATGAAGTGCTCAATGTATCTAACGTCACAAGATGCTTAACCAAATGAGGGAGCTTTGAAAAAGTAAAAAAACTAGAATCAACCATCACAACCCACCGCCTTAGCTTACCATATACTGTTTCAGTATAATTGTCAACACTATATTCAAATTATTTTTTAGGGTTGGAATTTATTATACCAATATCATATTCAGAAAAGATTAAAAAGAAAAAAAGAAAAAAAGCAATCAAAAATTTTCGTGTGCCCCTAGTTTCCACTTTTGAGATATTTGGTTATAAATTATGATTTATAAAAGTGTTATTATGATTTGATTATACGTATTGTGGTATTCACTATAAGAAATTAAGATCTTAAAGACAAAAATTTATAGACAAAATCATTTTTTAGGAACAAAATATTTTTATCGTCAAAAATGTTATTATTTTATTTTATTTTTAAAAATAAAATTGGACATTTAATAATAAATTACTAACCAAAAGTTGTCTCAAAAAATAAATATTTTTTGGACCAAGTTATTTTATTCTTAAAAATGCATTTACTAGTGATATTTTCAAAATTGTCTCTAAAAACTCTTTTTTGATTTTTCAGGACGACTTTTTTAACGATTGTACTTGCGGCAACTGAAATTAATCCTTAAATGTTTTTTGCAACAAAATTTATACTTTTAGGGATAAAAAAAAAATTGATCTATAAAACTCTTTTGTTGTAATGATTAGTTATAACTAATTGTGATATTAGTTATAATATTATTTTGATTATAATTTAAAAATTCTTTAATTATTCCTTATGTAGTGTTTGGCTATAACTTTTTTTTTATTTTTGTTATGACTTTTATAATATTAAGTTATAATATTTGTGATAATCAAACTTACAAATGTATATGATATACTTTTGTGCGCCATAACATTACCCAATAGTCTTTGTTTGGGATGTGGGTTGGCTTTTGGCTTTATGGCTTTTTGGCTATTTTAACCTATGGCTAAAAAGTCTCGTTTTGAATGAAATTTTTGATTTTTGTGAGAGAAAAAATGAAATAATTATGGTTTAGATGTTGCATTTTATTTTATTAAATTAAAAAATCTATTTTATTTTTTTGTGAGTAAAATAATACCAACCCAATCCAAATCCCATGCCAAACGAACCATAATATCTAATAAAAATATGACAAGTATAATATTATTAAATTATAAATGTTCATAACTAGCCCGCTTGATATATACTTTTTAAATATATATATATATATATATTATTAATTTTTGTATACACCATTTCAAACGAGTAGCAGTAGAAGTTTGGTCACAATACACAATCCCAACTACTCCAGTCACATTCAAACTATATAAGAATCTACACATAAACTTCTCAAACGAACCCATATTTTCAGAGAAAGAGAGAGATGAGGAAGGTAGCTATAATTGTAATGCTCTTTTGTTCAATAGCCATAGCCATGCCTGTGGTTCATGGCATTGCCCAAGGCCCCAAAGCAGTGGATGATTGGTTCCAAAAGCTCAGTTTCAAAAAGGAGAAGCTCACAAAGCTTAACTTCTACTTACACGACACACTCAGTGGCAAGAACCCAACTGCTGTCAAGGTAGCCCAAGCCAACATGACTTTCAAATCTCCAACCCTTTTTGGCCTAATCAACATGATTGATGACCCTTTGACTGTGGGTCCGGAACCCAGCTCCACTGAGGTGGGTCGAGCCCAGGGGTTCTATGGCTCGGCCGGGTTGGACAAGTTGGGTCTCATCATGACCATGAACCTTTACTTCGCCACTGGAAAATATAACGGTAGCACTTTAAGTGTTGTGGGTCGAAATTCAGTTATGGAGTTGTACCGCGAAATGCCAATTATCGGTGGATCCGGTGTCTTCCGACTGGCACGTGGAATTGCCACGGCAAAGACATATTTCTTGAATACAGCCACGGGTGATGCTGTTGTGGAGTACAATGTTGATGTCCTTCATTATTGAGTTTTTTTTTATTTTTTATTTTTTATTTTTTATTTTCCTTACAATAAGAACTTAGACGCAAAAAAATATATAAATAAAAAAAATGTGATCCAAATTCGACTCTGTAGATCTCATATTTAGAATGAATTTATATCATACACTTTTTCTTGATTTTTTTTTTTGTATCCAAGTTCTTAATATTATTGCTTTTCTTTTTGATTGTTATTTTTATTTAATCTTAGATATTTTTGTATTATTTGTAAGGATGTGGTATGGCATCTTTTTTTATTGGATCTGCTGGACACTGTCATTGACATTTATTATTTTTGTCTCTTTTCTCTTCTTTTTGTTCGTTTGTTTTTTTATTTTTTTGTAAGACTAATCACCAAAATATATTAGTTAAATAACTTAATAACATCAGTTGTCAGCTTATGTGCTGGTTGAATTACATTTCTTCCTATCTTACTATAGTTAATAATATCACTAACTATAGACATAATTTGCCAACCAGTGACTTCTCCTTGGCTCTGAAGTATCTTGACTAATACGCAATCTGTTTGAATAGTTAAGCATTTCATCACTTGAGCCCTCACCCATCTTAGGGCTTCCAAACATGCATTTGCCTCTGCCGCCAGTGGACTAGGAAGTGGGTTCACAACTAAAGCATTTTGATGTAGATTTTGACCCTTATTATCCATGCATACCTGCACCGGTGTGAGAAGCTTTTCATGCTCCATTAATGATGAACAGCCAAGTGGATAAACCAGCAATATGCTCCCTTGCCTGTGCCTGTTGTAAAACACACAGATTAGTTTGATGATTCCCATTACCTACACTATCATCAATAAGAACAGAGGACCCATGATATGCAATAGTTATAGCCAAAGTTGAGTGGTCTTTCACTTCCTCAATTGTGTCTTCAGGACTTCTTGTTAGGATCAAACACACCCAGAGAATTATCTCACACACACAGAGAACACAATATTTACGTGGTTCGGCCCGATGCCTACATCCACGGACAGAAATGAGAATTATCACTAAAATGGAGCAAAAATACAAATACAGAGGAGGAGATGAAACTCACTCAACTCACAGCTCTCACACTCAATTTCTGATCTCTCTTGGTTCTCACTCTCTCTCTCTGTCCATTTCAACTCTCCCCTCAACCTCTATTTATACACCAATGAGGGAGAGCCTCATTGGTCACCACCTACCTTCTTCCACTCTCTAATGGGGTTGGTAGAGTGGGAGAGCCACTTCCATTGGGTGGAGAAAGTGGGCTCTCCAATAGGAGCTCACATGGGATGAACCAACACTTCTAGGGCTATGATTGAATGTAAAACTATTCGTTGTAACCATATAGCCCAAAGAATAGCCACGGATTGAATGATTACTAGGTCATCATTCACTTGCTCAACCCAATCCTTGAACCACCAAAAAGAGCATACCGGTGACCCAATACTAAAGTCCAGCCCCTAGGTCATCATTCACTTGCTCAACCCAATCCTTGAACCACCGAAAAAAGGATACCGGTGACCCCATACTAAAGTCCAGCACTAACACTGATCCCCGCCATACCCGTTGCGAAATTGTACTGTCAAAAAACACGTGTTCTAAAGTTTCATCCTTTTTATTACACCCGACACACACCGTTTCATCTATCATTCCTTGCCTTTTTAAATCTCATTTTACCGGGAAAACTCTATGAAGAAACTTCCATATAAATAAAGCCCATTTTGGAAGTAGCCTCAAGTGCCACAGTTTTTTCCAAACCATTTGATTCGTATCTGGGTGACCAAAATACGGATAATAACGAAGCAATGCTTGTTTGTAGCCTGATTTTACCGAATATTCCCCACTCTTGACAAGGCGCCAAACCAATTTGTCCTCGCAAGGAAAATTCAGAATATGAATTGTTAGAATGTGTCGACAACAATCTTCAAGAAAAAATAGTCTAACCAAATTTTCTCTCCAACATCTATGTTCATTATCTATAAAGTGTTCTACCTTCATAGAAGGCAACATCTGATTTAAATCTCTCCCTCTCATTGGGTTAGAGATCATGGGAATCCATTGATCCTCAAAAGGCAAAATATGTTTACCATTACCTACTACCCATTGAAACCCCCATGTTTAAGAGCTCCCTACGCCACAAGATGCTACGCTAACCCCATGAAGATCTAGTAACTTTTGAAACATGCAAATGAGATTGACCATGACAACATTTGCCTAACAACACTTCAGACACCAACAAATCGGGATTTGAAATTAATCTCCACGCCTGCTTTGCTAATAAAGCTTGATTAAAACATCGAAGATCCCTAAACCCCAAACCACCCAAATCCTGTGGCAAACAAACAGAGGACCACTTCTTCCAACGTACACCCGTCAGCGTTAGACTTCCATAAAAATTTCCGAACCAAACATGTCAGCTTTGCTAAAAAAGAGGAAGGCATTTGAAACAGAGACATTAAATAGACCGGAATATAGTGCAGCACATGTCTTACCATCACCTCCCTCCCAGCAAAATTCAAGAATTCACATTTCCACCCTTGTAACTTGTGCTGAATTTTGTCAATTATAGCTCTGAAAATATCATCTTTTGATCTACCCAGAAAACCCAGATTGGCACCAAGATACACTCCGGGCTTATCCACCACTTTAACGCCCAACATCGACTCAATCCACTGTTTATCATTCAAGGACAAATTCGAGCTAGGACAAAATTCAGATTTTTAGAAATTAATTCGCAAACCCAACTGATCACAAAATGCACTTAAAAACCACTGTAAACACCACACTTCCGACATTTCATACTTTTGAAAAATAAAACAATCATCAGCAAATAACAGGTGCGAAATAGTATGAGAAGATCTGCATAAAGCAATACCTTGACAAATGCCTTGACTTGACAAATGTTCAAAACCATCTGATAAAGCTTGCATGATCACCAAGAAGAGATAAGGCGATAGAGGATCACCCTACTAAGGCCAGCATGTGGTACAAAAAATAGTGATTGTGTTCCATTAAACAAAACCGAAAATGTGACCGTCGAAATACATTGTGAAATCATCCAAACCCACTTCATAGGAAAAACCCATTTTTTCTAGCATAGCTACCGGAAATTCCCAATTAACCCTATCATATGCTTTATTCATATCCAATTTTAACCCAAAGATTGAAGTCCGCCCAACTCTCTTCTCCTTAATATATTCAACAAGCTCATGTGCCAACAAAATATTATCTAAAATTAATCATCCTTTTAAACACGCACTTTGATTAAAAGAAATCAAGTCTGATAAAATGTCTCTTAACAGAGTAGCCAAAACTTTAGCTCCCATTTTGTACAGAACATTGCAAAGACCAATAGTTCGATAATCATTCACTGCAAGGGACTTTTCTTCTTAGGATATGAAAGTTTTATTAATGTGCTTAAGCAAATTAAGGAAGCTAAGAACAGACTCACTAACCGACTCGCCCACCTCTACCCAATATTTTTGATAAAAACCTGCAATAAACCAATCCGGCCCGGGTGCCTTAAATTTGCCCATTTGAAAAATAGCCTTTTTTTTTTATTTCCTCCATAGTAAACGATGGTTCTAACAATTCAACATGTGATGGTCTAATCTTACAAGTGACAGCACTTAAGATATTAAAATGATTAGGATAAGAACCTGTATCCAAAAATCCAACGACTGTCACTGTTGGTCTTAAAAAAAGTTACTTGAAATGGTCCATGTACTAGCACGAAATAATCTTCTCGTATATTCCTGTTGACCTAGTTTGCATTCCTCCAAGCGTCGTTCCTTTGCCACCTGAAAACACAAACGTGAGGTAGTCGGCAGGTGTGTACGTCGAAAACCTCTCCAATTTCTAAGTTAGCCAAATAGACCATAGACAAAAGCTTTGTGTATTTGAGAGTAAGAATTGCAATACCTGTTCATAGGTTTTGTTATGAGCTTTTATGGATTTCGGCAGGTACATTGCTAGTAAGATTCTAACTCTCCTTAGCAGAGTCTTCCTAGGAATCACTTTCCCACAAGATAATGTTTATCTTAATAATACCCTTCTCAGTGCCAACCAAGTGAGATGATTTAAATCCTTTACCTCGGCAGGTGTTATGGTTGACCGAGCTAACACGGCTCTGTGCTACCCTGGGTAAGACCGTGGTAACCCTAACTACAGGATGGCACCCTGCTAAGCTACGCCTAGATCGGCTCTCTTCTCTGAACACACCTTGGTCCACCACTGAACTTAGCTCTAACTAGCTAGGTCAAGACCCTAGCAATACGCTTCTGACCGGCTTGGCATGCGCTTGGCTCAAGGCCGAGTTATCCAAGCTCTCACCTTAGTCCATAGCTCAACCCAATGTCCACAGTAGGAAATACTTAGCTCGGCCCAATTTATGCACATAAATTACGCTCTCAATTGCCTTTTAATTCCATCTACGAAGCATGATTAGGATTATTGTCTTCTAGCCGTGCTAAAATATTCAAACCAACCAAGCCGAACTATTCAGGCCAACCGAACTAAGATTCGCTCAACGGTCGTACAGCCCATTTGCCTAAGTTTCTGACATCATGTCCTTACTAGGACACATGGCTCGCGTTGATTGCCCCTGCTTACTGTGACAGCCGTCCATTACTACCTCGAAATTTGAATAACCCCGCTGTTTTACATTTATTACATACATACCACCTCTACACTTGAATAGCCCCACCTACTGTTTATTCTATCTAAGCTCCCTGCAACTCCAATCTCACACTCCCATTATTCTACGCTCAAGCTGTAATCTATGTTGTACTCGTAATCGTTGCTGGAGCAATTTTTGTCTATTGGAATCAGATTATCTGTCCCTAATCTGTAAGTGCCCTTCACTCTCTTTTATTTTTCCACTGTTATTCAAGTTTGTTCTTCATATTTTTTATGTTTTTGTTCTATCAAACCCCCGCTCTTGCCTTTGAATAGAACTTAAGTCTTAAAACCAATAAAACACGCATTGACAGAATGTAAAACTATATGAACATCAATCGGCTAAGATTTAAGCCAACCAAATCCTGCAGTTTTGATCCAAAAGTATAAACAAACCGAACTAAAGATTTGTTGGTAGTCTTTATTCATGAATATAACCGTACTAGGGATTCCTCTTCAAACTAAGCTAACACCCCTGTTCGTGGCCTAGTCCACGATAAACCATAACCGTATGAGTATGCAGCCAAACTAGGCACAGCGCCTTTTCCATGACACGACTAAAACCTTACCCTAAGTCAGGGTCGGGCTAAAACCTTGCCCTATTTAGCCGAGCTATATGCCGCTATGGGAGCCGAATATTAGGGGATGCAAAGAGGCCGAATACACACTTGGAAAATCAAGATATATATTATATTCGGCCTCGTCTTGTACCATCCAGAAGCCGAGCATCCTAATCGGCCATAGAACCAGTTGAGCAAAGAGCCGAGTGAGAATTGGATTACAACAGAAAGAGCCGAGTGAACAATCACACGGTGGATTAAAAGTGGGCCCAACCCTGAGGCCCAAAAGCGAATATAAATAGAGGAACATCAGCCAAAAAAATGTATGTAAGAGAAAACCCCAAGAAACTTAAGACATAAGCAAACATGAGGCATATACTAACTTGTTTGTCGGAGTGCTAA